CCAACTAGGGAACATCATCAGTGCTAGAAGGGAATCGGGTTTGCAGGTAGGAGGGGGAGGGGGAGGGGGATCTCCATACCATCAAAACACGGATGCAATGACCTAGTTGGGTCATGAAACGTCAGAGCAGCCACAGAATTTGAACTGGATCCCTTGGGGGGCTTCATTTGCCAACAAGCCACGACTGAAACCCAAGCTTTGTTCTTGGGGTTCCAACTGGGGTGCTTAGAGGGGAAAGTTGGCGTCCCTCGTTTGGTGCATCCGAAGCAAAGTAGGAACGAACCACAGAGGTTTGCTTGCCTAAGTCCTGCCCAGCAACGGAGCAAGTGATTGCCTGCTGAGGAGGGGAGCTTTGCACACCTTTTACACACAGTCTGCAGAAACCCCTTGCCCAGAGCCGCCCACTCGGCCACTGGCAACCCGGGAAAGAAGACCAGGCGGAGTACACCTTGCGCAAAATAGATATTTTATATAACTTTCTTTAGCGAGAAAACGCCTTCCATTTACAAAAAAAACCCACACCACACAGAATAGATACAGAAGCTGGGAAAAGATACACCAACAAGACACATAAATATACACAATGCACAACATAAATATGAATATAATTATCTCCAGCAGGTTTTTCTTTCTTTTTCTTTTCTTTTTGTATTCTGTACAATATTTCTTGTTTGTTTTTAAATTAAAAGAAGAAACGGGGGAGGGGGGAGATAATTTAAAAAGAACTATTGCCCTCCTTGGGATTTTTTAAAATTCCTGATTTTGCCATCTGAGTCTACACGTTGAAATCTTTTGAAATAAACCAAGAAGGCGGCTGCCACCGGGATTAAAATTAAATTAAGACGACTCGATGGCTACATAAGCGATGCTTTTAAAAGTATACGATTTTGTCTCTTCCTACTTAGGTTTTCAGTCCCCAAAATACTTGCCCTTTTTGAAAAACAAATATGTCAATTTTTGTACAGCGAGCGAGCAGAAAAGGACCCTTAAAAAAACAAAAAACAACCCCAACATGTTGAAACAAAATTAGAACAAAGGACAAGCAACTTTACAAAGTGCACCCAATTTTTTTTTATGTAAACCTCCAGCGACTCCATTGGTTGCGGTTGTTGAAATTTTATAGAAAAGCCCTTTTAATGCAAGGGGTAAAAAATTGGAAGCCCTTGGTAGGAATTCTTCACAATCCTTTGGGGGTTCAAATTCCCATATCCAGAGTTCAGGAACTTTTGACCATTACCAGAACCAAGCACAAACTCTTCCCAAAATATGTTTTGCCCATTGCTATTGCAACAACGGGGGGTGGGGGGATACATAATACACCCCCTTGTAAATTGTCTATCGCTACTCTAGTGTGGATCGGTCTTCTCTCGAAAAAATTACATATATATATATTAATGGATGAGAGAGACCTTCTCAAGCCAGATGGCAAGATATAAATTTGGTTGAGCCGAAATCTTCTGCAGCTCTAGAACGGGTGGGTGCAGGCTGCCTTTCAGGGGGGAAAGCAGAGGTCATCTAGCAGGGCAAGAAATGATAGTTGGGGTCTTTCCAAAGGCCCTAGATCAGAGGTCCCCCAACCTTGGTCACTTTAAGACTTGTGGACTTCAACTCCCAGAATTCAACTTTAAGACTTGCGGACTTCAACCTCCAGAATTCCTCTGCCAGCAAAGCTGGCTGAGGAATTCTGGGAGTTGAAGTCCGCAAGTCTTAAAGTTCCCAAGGTTGGAGACCCCTAAATTCTCTGCTGCTTCCTCGTGCTGCCCTCATGTGGCAAAGGGTGGCATAACCAGGGCAAAGCCATTTTTCAGAAGGCCATAGTTCAAGGCTGGTGGACTTCAACTCCCAGAATTCCTGCGCTAACATGACTAGAGGAGGAATTCTGGGAGCTGAAGTCCACAAGTCTTAAAGCTGTCAAGTTTGAAGACCCCTGCCGTAGTGCGTGCTGCCCATCGGGAAGAATATTTATTTACTTACTATTTAATTATTAGACTTGTACGCCACCCATCTCACCTAGTGAATACCAGCAGTCCTCGACTTACAACCACAATTCAGCCTCTGAATTTCTGCCGCAAAGTGAGATATGTGTTTTGCCCTGGTTTGCAACCTTTCTCGCCACGATTGCTAAGTGAATCACCGGATGGCTTCGTCTTGCTCTTAAGTGAATCACCGCACTTGTTCAGTTAGTCACATGGTTATTAAGTGAATCTTCCCCCTTCACTTTGCTTGCCAGAAGGTCACTCCAACTGTCATTAAATGAGAACCAGTTGCCAGACTCCTGCATTTTGATCCCACGGCCGGGGGTGGGGGGGTGGGGGGCAGATGCTGCAGCAGTGAATAATGGCCATAAGTCACTCCCCCCCCCCCCCGTGCCCTTCTAATGTCAAACGGTCACTAAACAAATTGTTGCAAGTCCATTGTAAACTGCCTTCATTTCTGACGCTGTGTAGTCCTGAGCTGGCGCTGCAGATTTCTTGGCTACCAAAAACCAAACTTTTCTCCTTTAAATATCGGATGATTTGGATCAAAAGCGGAGTGGAAATCTATTGCTGACACTTGCAGCTTCCTGTCCTCGGCCGTGGTTTCCTTTTTTTTCCAGGGAAAATCCCACCGAACTGACACCAAAATGACTTGAGTTCCAGCCCTTATGTAGGGAAAGGACCTGCCTTTCCTCCCCATTTGGATCATCCTAGTGCAGTTTTCCTTCCCGTCTTCCTTTTTTCCTCCAAATCAGATTCTCTTCTTTTGCCCCCCGCACCCAAAAAAAAGACAAATTTCTTTGAAACCCGGCTGTCTATTTGCATTTCTCTTCCTCCCCAAACTCTTGGTCATTTCTGTTCCCGTCAGATCCAACAGTTCTGTCTCTTATTCTCGATGCCAATAATAATAATAATAATAATAAAAATAATAATAATATTAACAATAACTATAAAAATAGCAGCAAGAATAAATATTAAATATCTTCCTTTAAAAAAGGAGTCTTTCTTATAATACTATAGAGATTTCCGAAATAATCGTGAGCACGTCGGCAGGGGCCTTTGCAATGTGCGCACTCTGTAAACATTCCTTTAGCGGAAAAAAAATGAAAATAAAACCGTGGGCGGAGGAGCGAGGCCGGGTTTCCGAGGCTTGACTTTTCCTTTAGACCTAGAAAAGAGCAGGAAAGAAATGAGAATATCAGACCTTGGCCAAACACGGAACTTTTGGCTAAGATGCTCCCGGATTAGACTCGGAATAGAGCCGGAAGGGACCCTGGAGGCCACTTAGTCCAACCCCCTGCTCAGGGAGGAGACCCTAGACCATTCCAGACACGTAGCGATCCAGCCTCTTCTTGAAAACGTCTGGAGATGAAGCACCCACCACTTCTGGAGGGAAGCTATTCCACCCGTTTAATGTTCTAGGATTATAGAATAACAGAACCGGAAGGGACCTCGGAGATCTTCTAGCCTGACCCCTACTCTAGCAGGAGACCCTGTCCAATCTCTTCTTCAAAAACCCCCCAGTGATGGAGCACTCACAAGTCCTGGAGGTAACTTCGGTGCCTCTGGTTAATTGTTCTCACTGTCAAGGGGGATACAGAATTACAGAGTTGGGAGGGACCTCCGAGGTCTTCTAGTCCACCCCCGGATTTGAGCAGGAGGCCTTGTACCAGTGGTGGGTTTCCAAATCGTTCCCTACTGGTTCTATGCGCGTGTGCGTGGAGAGAGATCAAATACCGACCTCTGTCAACGGCGGTAAGCTGAGCTCTGCCTCGCAAACCAGCTGAGCTAAAACGCAACCGGAGGAGGAGGGGGAACGGGGGAGCCAACCAGGGGAGGAATCGGCCGCTTTGCCGCCTCTCCAAACCAGGGGTCGCCGGCCTTTTGGACCTCAGGGACCAACATTGAAAATCCCCCAGACCAGAGACCCTGGGAAAATCCCCCCCAAAGTCTGCAGGAAAATTCCCCACCCCGTTTTCCTACTTTCCTATTGTTTTTTATTTGGGATCGCAGGATGCCGTCTCCAGTTCTGTTCTCAGGGGGAGAGAGAGAGAGAGACTTTTGGCTTCATGCAAGGAAAGCAGCAGAAGCCGCAGAAGTCTTTCTTTCTCTCTCCCAAACTCCGCCAGAAATGAGCCTTTGGGACCCTGCAAGGCCTCCTGCTGCTCCAAGAGGCTGCAAAGACTCATTTCTGGTGGAGTTTGCTGCTTTCCTTGCGTGAAGCCAAAAGCGGAAGAAGAAAGAAGCAGAAAGAAGCAGCCCGGTGGCCAGGCGAGGAGCATGGGGCAAGTGGGGCAAGTTCCCCCCCTCCGTCCTCTCCCCCCTCCCCTCACTACCTCGTGGTGTTCACAATGCAAGCAACGCAAGCCTTGTGTTCCCGCGGGCCATGTGGGCGGCGCAGCCTTGTGTTCCCACGCAGCCTGGATTAATTGCTTTGGGGGGGGACATTTCTCTGCGTCCCACCAAAATTTTCTCACTGACCACCAGTGCTCCCCGGCCGACCGGTTGGCGACCACTGCTCCAAACTACTCAAAATGCCCCCACAACTGGTACACCAGAACCGATCCGAACTGACTGAACACCACCTTTGCCTTGTCCCATTTTGGACCAGTGACAGTCCAGTCTCTCCTTCTTCTTCTTCTTTAAAAAAATCCTCCTGAGCCCCTGCAAGGCCTGTTCCTTTCCTGCCTCCTTTGAAAGGACGGACTCTCAGAGACCCAGGGGAGACTTACCTCCGTGGCGTAGACGCAGGGCTCCACCTGGCCGGGGATGATGTAGATCGGGTGGTAAGTGTCGTCCTTCGGACACTCCGGAGCAACGGGCCAGCTGGGCTCCGACGGTTTACTACAGGAGAGAAAAACGGGGCACACGGGTGGTGAGGATGGGGTGCTCTCCCACCACCCCAAATTGGGGTCACAAAGGCAAAATCTGCACGGGGGGGGCGGGGGTCTCTGCAAGAGATGTCGAGAAGGAAGCCACGGGATAGAAATGCCGCTCCATTTTTACGTGCCATTTCTCTGCGTGACGGTCAAGAAATCAGGAAGCTTCCTTTCCTGCGAATAAGGCCTGATCCAGGATGGGGGGGGGGGTTGTTTTTCCCAAGCTTTGAACCCAGAGCCAGGAGCTCCCTAGAGGCCCCCAAAGCCAAGCCCTTGCTGGTGTCCAGCCAGGCGGTTGGATTGAGCTGTCCAGTAAAGCAGCGGCCTCCCACTTTGGCCACTTTAAGCCTGGAGGACTTCAACTCCCAGGGAGACCCCTGCCATAAAGGAATCCCCCCCACTAGTGGGCTAGTTAGTTAGATGAGGGTCAATGGCAACCAAGAGAGGTTGGAGTTAGTTTGCTTGCGGCTACGTAGGGATCCTAGGGTGGTGCCTCTCCAGCGCCGGATTCTGCCATTCCAAGACGTTGACCGCTGCGGTCGGTGTTAAGATTCTGAAGTGTGGGGGGGGGGGGGGGGGGGGG